GGACCGATACCGGTCCGAGGCCCGGGGGTTGGGGATCGCTGATTAAGAGGACCCGAGGGAAGCTCGGAAAGCCAAGCAGAAGTTATTTGGAGAGGAGAGTGACTGCTGTTGGTTGAAAAGAGAGGTAAAAAAAACTTCAGTGGTGTGGAAACATTATGGGTTCGCGGAGTCAGACGTGGATCAAGTAGACATAGTGTGTAAACTTTGCTACAGTGTCATAGCTGCACCACAGAGCAACACTGCAAAGTTCACTAAACAGATGTTTACATTTTTCATTTATTTTTTATATTGCAAACATTTGCACTGTTATCAGTATTTGCACACTATTTTATGACAATCTTTAAAGTCATTATTCAATACATTGTTATTGTTAAATAAATATCGTCAAATAATCGAGATCTCAATTTCAGTGAAAATAATCGTGATTATAATTTTTGCCATAATCGAGCAGCCCTACTCTTCGGTGCTGGTGAACATGCATTTCTAAAGCTTAGTTATGTAGATCGAGCAGCATGTTAAAAGCTCAATATAGTCAGTGCAATTTTAATTACTCACAGGTTTGAATTTCTGGACCGAGTTCAACATGGATCCATTGAAAAACATCTCAAATCTCCCAGTTCTTCCAGGATCTGGGAATAAGTTCAAAAGATGAGAAACTGCTTTTTCCTGGTTTCACTAGCCCCAAATTATAGCAAGATGACAATTTTATTTTATTTATTTTTTTTTTTAAACATAATTTGATCTTAGATCAGAGGCAACATAATGAAGCTAACTATGGATACACTGGTATTTGCTCTCACATTGACTTAACAGACGGCTAGTACCCAGTAATAACTGTCCTACTTCACTGTGCACTCAGTCAGCACGTACATACTCACCCATTCATTATCACAAGGGCCCACAACAAGGCCGACAGACTGAACTGCTTCAATTAAGCCATTAACAAAAAAGCCGACTGCAGCACATTTAGCGCTGTTCTGGCCTCGTGGTTCAACTCTCATTCTGGAGGATGCACATTTGGTAACACTTAATCCAAGCTGCCTCAAAACAGCGCATGGATTTCATACATTCAGCTGGAGAGAAGGCACCCCAACCTTGTGTCTGTGCGCGTTACAAGCTGGTCTGTTACGGGTGGTCCTTGGGCCATCAGGTGCTATTCAAACTGACTGTGTTGAAAGTGTTTTGGCTGACATCACCACGAGTGGTTTGCCATTAAAATGGATACTCGCCGCTGTCCCTTTAAAAGAGAGCAGTGTGTTTGAGCGTGAACACAAGACGGCGCAGATAAAAAGGCAAAGAAGCAATAGACACCACACTCTGTTACACATGAATTTGTAAAATTTGAGTTAAAAAAAAAAAGAAAAAAGAAAAAAAGGAAACCCATATAAAATCACATACTTCAGTAATTATAGTTGAGCGAAACAAGACCAGCATGCAAGTGCCAAAAACTGCAGTTCCTTAAATGAACACACTCCAGAAGTGAGTCAGTCCTCATGTTTGCAGCCTGATGCATACAACCGTTAAGGTCTCCCTTTCATTTTATGAAGGCTTACAGTTAAGCATGATTACTGGCATGGCCGTGGCTGGGTGGGAGAAGTGGAAAGGTTCCAGACTGTCTGAGATAACATTAAATGGTAAACTCAATTTTTTAAATTCTAACTAGGCTGAAGAGAATATAAACAGACTTACAGGCTTCATACGCATTTTATTTTATAAAAAAAAAATCAATTCTTGGATTACTTTTAACTAAACATAAAAGTTTTTAAAGCTAAAATTTTAATCTCTTGCCAGGGATCTCAGGGATCCAGACAAATGAAGAATGAAGAAACGTTACACTACAGTGATGAAAACCAAAACCACATTTTAAGAAGCAGCTGCTTGTGGCAGCAGTGGTGCTTCTGCCGTTACTTCTTTTCTCCAAATTCTTTGAAGAGTTGCCTCAGCTGGCCTTTTCCTTTTAGCTCTGAATGTAATTATCACCGTTTCTAAAATCTGCACCAGATTATTTTTAAGTAACGCACATTTCTTTTGCTTCAACCAACAGACTCATTCTCATTCACAATTGGTAACTTATTTATTCAAATTTAAATATTTTTAAAAGCTTTCATTTCGAGACCATGCCAGGTGAAGTTGTAAGTTGCTGCTACGTGAAATCTTACTGTGAAAAAAAAAATACTGGAGGGGAAAGGATCAGTTGACAAAGAGTGAGCGAGTGAATTCGACAAAGTCGAAAGCTGATGGCAGCTCGCGGCTCTTGCTGTCGAGGTATTGATGTTGGAGGTTTAGCGTGACATCAAGGACTTAATCACCATGGACTTTATGACTAGTGTGAGCTGAGGTCAAAGGTTAGGGGTTAGGACCACCTTAGGAGAAAGGAAATGCACTTCTGTGGAGGCAAAAGACAAGAGTAGACTAAACCAGCATGCACCTCTGTGAAACGAATACATCAGTAGACACTCTGAGACAGGATGTTCCTGATTTTAGAAATTGTGCAAATGTAAGAAAACAGTTCTACACATTTGTTTAATTTGCACATTGATCAGAAATGACTTACTGGAGGCCCGGGTAATGCCATCCAGAGCAAGTATCTGGTTAGACACCATGTTTCTAAGGTTTTTAGTACAATAAGCTCAGTTTTATCTGAGTTTACAAGCAGGAAATTAGAGGTCTTTATGTTTTTAAGGCATTCCTTCAGTTTAATTAATTGATTGGTGTCATCTGGCTTCATGGATATCGATATATATAAAGCAACTTATCAGCTTTTATTGCAGTTTCTCACTTCTTACAGTGTTACAGGGATGCTGTATGCAAAATTTTAAGATCCATGCTAAAGATGAATCTGGACAGATGCAAAACAGGTCGTTTTTAGAACTTATACGATGTCTTATTAGACAAAGTAAAAGAACAGTTTTCAGCCAATCAGAAACTATATCTTCTTAGACAAATGGTGCAAATTGTTTTACTTTAAAAAAGGTCCTCTGGATGGATTTCAGTGTGTAAATGTATGCACGGTGTTTGCGCTCAGTAGTAGTTCCTGTCCAGCAGTGGACTTGTGAATGTGGTCACACTCTGTCCTGCAGTATGTATTTAAAGTTCTTGTGTTTTCGGACAGTGTCCCAGTGCACATTTTGTTCCAGCTCTGACCTCCAGTGATGACAATGGTGGGCAGAGGCTCATCTGACACAGCGATGACACAGGAAACAACAGGGGAAAACCAAACCAGACTCTCTGCTAGATCACTGTGTGTGTTTCACTGCTTCCTGGCTTACGGGTGCGGTTCAAGTGGGATAACGCAGCTTCCTGCAGACCAGATTAATGGGCTAATATTGGATATAATCCTCCCATTGTAAAAAAGCCTGGAGACCTGGCAACCAGACTGAGGGCAGGCCACGGCCTCTGCAAACACAGACCTTCACAATCATGTACACTTTCAAAGAAAACTATGGACACACCCACAGTGTGTAAAAAATGCCCAAGACAGGAAAATGGCCCAATGATGCGAGACAATTCTGTCCAAATTTTGATTATTTATTATCCAGATTACTTTTTTTTTTTTTTTTTTTCCATTTATTGTTATTTGTGAGACTTGGGAAAGCAGTAACATTGTTAACCCACAATGTGTAAGTTATTATCCAGATTACTTGCTGATGTTTCTCTCATGTCATGTGCACGTTGCTTCAGATTTGTCTACCATACTGGATATGATACAACCACCGGCTGCTAATGAAAAATGCATAGTCCTCCTATTGGTTGACAAGTGATTCCTACAGGTTACTGACCAATGCTTAGTGAAATCCATCAAAAAGAAGGTGCTGTACCAGAAACCTCTTTAATGTTGCTTTGGTCACTATTGGATTGCTGTGGTTGCCGATAGTGTACAACAACACTTGCCAGCTGCTAGTCAAACTGTAGTGAATATTAAGAAACTGCAACTGAGACAATCTGCTAGCATCAAAAGTAATTACACTGAAGTTTTTGCCAGCTGCTCAGGGAATACACATTTTTCCTTAGTCAACACTATTGTTACACATCCAAAATTGTGGAAAAGTGACTGTCACATGGTTAGTGACCATGTGATTCATGTGCCTTTAGTTTACTACACAGGCAAAAGCGTGTTCACACAACCAACTATGCAAGTACAGGCAAATAAATGTATGCTTAAACTTGTGACTGGGGCAGCGAATGGTTGTCTGTCCCTGTGTGTTAGCCCTGCGACAGACGGGCGACCTGTCCAGGGTGTACCCCGCCTCTCGCCCTAAGACAGCTGGGATAGGCTCCAGCGCCCCCCGCGACCCTAAAAAGGATAAGTGGAAGCGAATGGATGGATGAAACTTGTGACTGGAATTCTAAGCCTTATAACATAAGCCGATGTCATAATTAATAAAAAAATATGGCCAAACCTACCAAAACAAGATCCAAATATTGATGTAAAAAATACACGTATAACACATTTCTACACTTGAATAAATTTATTAGCTGACTGAAAGGTTTGGTTAGATATGCTTCTTGTCATGGGTGAACAGTTGCTGTGTATCTTAATCGAAAATTGTTGCATAGTTTATCTCATGGGACTGTTGCTGTGTAGATTATAATGATGATGCATCTGTTTACTTACCTCCCTTTTTAGGAGGACATTAAAAGGTAAGCTTTTTATGTTTTCCCTCCACTTTAGCTTCATTACCTCACCAATACAAATGTTTCATTTATCCCTGCGACTGCTAACCATTACTAATGTGTAAAATGTAATGTGTAGCATACAAACCGAGGTGGACAGAGGAAAGAAAAATGTAATAAACAATGTTGTTGTTGTTGCTATACAAATACTCTTCCCTAAAATCTGCTGTGGATCTTACAGGCCACTAAACACAAAGACACAAACACAATCCTGGCCTGTGAGTGGATTTATTTAGTCAGTGTGTATTAGGGAGATAAAGACCTGAGCCTGAGCTGTGTGTGTGTGTGTGTTAGCAATACTTCATGTCACTGTTAATTTTACTTACTGCTTGTTGAGGACAAGGGACTGTAATCAGACCTGCAGAGGACAAAAGAAAACAGATTTTTTTAAAAGGCAGAGGAAATGTCGACAGAGAGGACAAGGCAGAGAGAGGAGACAGAAGTTTATATTACAATATGAATTGCAATCTACATGATTTACAGGATGACACACTCCTATTTCAGATGAAGTGCTGACATCTGGCTAAACAGTAGGAGAGGTCCAGCTGGAAGGTCAGCAAAAATGCACACAGAGATTTCAGAGTGGTTTCTAACGGAAGGGATAAAAACACAGGCATTTGCTCAAGTACTACTTCCACTACTGAGATACAGTACAGCTCCTAGCCTCTTGTATTTTACTTGAGTTCTAACTACTGCATTTTCCTAGTTAATTAACACATTAAATAAAACTTCCTGTTTTTTTAGGAGCTAACAATCCCACTCAACCAGTAAAAACATCAAAAATGCTCCTACCACACTCACACATTAACAATAATAATAATAATAACTATTATTATCAACCGCAGCACGGTGGCACGGTGGTTAGCACTGTTGCCGCACAGCAAGAAGGTCCTGAGTTCAATTCCAACATCAGGCCGGGGTCTTTCTGTGTGGAGTTTGCATGTTCTCCCCGTGTCTGCGTGGGTTCCCTCCGGCTACTCCGGCTTCCTCCCACCGTCCAAAGATATGCAGCTTGTGGGGATAGGTTAATTGGATAATCCAAATTGTCACTAGGTGTGAATGTGAGTGCGAACTGTTGTCTGTCCCTGTGTGTTGGCCCTGCGACAGACTGGCGACCTGTCCAGGGTGTACCCCGCCTCTCGCCCTATGACAGCTGGGATGGGCTCCAGCGCCCCCCGCGACCCTGAAAAGGATAAGCGGAAGCGAATGGATGGATGGATGGATGGAATATTATTATTGACATGATGCTGGAAATAAAAGGACGTGTGTGTGCCGGATTTTAATGTGTCATGAATTACTACAACCATATTGTTTCTCTTAATTATAGAATCAGTTCAGCAACAACTTCTTTGTTCCTTCCAAAAATTGGATAAAAAGATTGGTAACACATTCTACCATTAAAGTTACAAGTCATACAACTCAAACTAATGACTGTACAAGCGGAAAATATGCTCACGTCTACTGAATCAGACATATTGGGAATTTATGACATTTAAAACATAGAAACTACTGAAAGTGTTTAGTCATCACTGGTATTAGCACGTAGATAAAAATAATGTTAATCACACAGTTGATTTAACTAACTTAAAAAAAAACATACTGGTTTGGTTTCCTAGCCAAACCAAGTATGAATAACTGCAAGAACTGGCATATAAAGTATGTGGCTCCAAAGCTGGTGGAAATAATGTGTAAATATGGCCAAGTTGAGATAATTTGGTTTTTCTGGGTTTTCCCCTTCAATCTGCTGACAGCGTGTGCACTAGAAATACCTAGCTATAGCCAGGAAGTGATTAGCCTAACTTAGCACAAAGACTTGAAAGAGGCTAAATTCTCCTGGCTACATTCAAGGGAAAACTACCCACCCCTCAAAGCTCATTATTTCACTCCTGTATCTTGTTTAATATGTACACATGAGTATAACAGTTACATTTTTATGGCTGTACTTTGGCTTTCTTATAATGCTGGATTCTTTGTATATTGGTTCAAATGACAACCAGTCTCCGTGGAGAGAGGCCAAAACATTTCCAGTCCTTCTGATTTCTGTGCTATGTGAGGCTAGCCATGCCCAGGCTCCAGTGTTTTTGGTTGCACCAGTCTTTATGTAGAGTTCATTACAAGAAAGGGGGGGGGGGGGGGGGGGGGGGGGTGAGGTATATTTATGGTTGGGAAAATGTAATTGATGAAGTAAAGGGTCTTCACTTTTTGAAGATTTATCTGCTCTTAAGCTTCAAAGAAAAGATGGAGAATTACATTTCAGCTAATCTGATCTCCAGACAGAGTAAAATTATGACATTTTATGAAATTACATCCAAGACGTGTTTGCCCACATACAACAAGGCTGACTGAGGAGCTAACTCAAATCCTGCAATTAATAATTTGGTGAAAAGGTTGCATAACTCCAGGTTCACATATATGCATTGCAACTTGACGATATTAGTCCCACAGGAGTCCTCTGACAGCCAGAGAACACTGTTCCTCCGCACACTCTGTGAGTCCATCTCTAAACTAATAAAAGTCTCTGGAACTGCAGGAAGCAGAAGAGCAAGTCTATTTCCTGCAGCAGGAGGTTATCAATCTAACTAATGGGCATTAGCGGTGTAGAGAAAGGAATGGGTAAGAGTGAGGGAAGCAGCAGGTGTGAGGACACAAAGGTAAGAAAAGATGATGGGCTTGCAGAGGCAATATAAATATTGGGAAGAACAGAAATAAGCAGAAAATTGCAGCAAAAGGGGACAAAGTGAAAGTCATACTCTCATCTCTGAGTGCACAAAGAAAAATGACAAGGAGTGGAAAAAAAAGTAGGTTTATGACTCTTTGAAATAGAGTTGGAGGTAGTAGTGTGCGCAGTTGCACACTAGTCTGTTTATTTTGATGGCTCCTTTGGGTGTGAGCATTTGGCAGGGCTACCCCTGCAGTGCCAGCTAGCATCCCGCCTGCGGTTCCCAGTCTGGCCGCGCTGCCTCGCTTCATCTCCACCCAAAGACAATAAACACAAAGTGAAGCGCAGACAGGCAGCAACCCAGTCATACGCATAAAGTATGAGCGCAGGGTGACCCAGTGGGCTTGAAACTGAGTATATATACGTATATTTTTTAAAAAAAAACTTCTTTGACCCATGGAAAGCTAAAACAGATTCAGATGCAGAGCGATGAAGAGGGACTTAGGATGGCAAGAAAGGGATGAAGATGAAGGCATAAGCTAACCGAAAACGTTCGACTGTTCCAAGCGGTGACTCATGTGAGCATTTTACGGCCTATCACCTGTAAAGTCAGGCTCTGGTTATATTCAGGAAGGATCTTTATCACGGCTTAAAAGAAACCAGACATGACTGATGGTAGATGGAAAGTCTGTATTCAATAACAACATAACATTATCATCCTACTTCCCCCAGAGCAGGGGTCTATTTACACAACCGTGATGCATATATTCATGTAGGTTTGTTGGTGTTCAGGAATAAAAATTATAAGTATTCTGTTTTTCTCGTTTGACAGAACAGTAGTTATATAAGAACACGGCAGAGACAAAGTCATTCACAGGACCGACTCATCTATTTATAACTCACTAATAGGGGGTTAAGATGGGCTTTATGACCAACAAAATATTAACCGTGTGCAATTACACAATCAAATGTAAAACCGTGCTTGCACTACTACACTGAAAAAAAGGCCATGTTGGATTTACTTGATTCAATAGTGGACATTGGTTGCACACAAATGTTTTGCTTTGGCAGAAACTTAAATCAACACAACTTTTTCATATTCAATAAACATGTGCATTTTGTGTTCATAAAACGCGATTGAAGCGGTTGCAGGGGGGCTGGGAAATAACCCTGAATTGTTAGGCAGGGTACACCCTAGACAACTCACAAGTCTGTCACAAACAACCATTTGCACTTACATTGAGAGGTAATTTAGAATCATCAATTAACCTAACTCTAACAACTGCACGACTTTTAACTGTGGGAAGAAACCAGAATACCCAGAGAGAAACCAGTGCAAACTAGCCAGATTGTGGATTTGAACCCAGGATCTTCTACTGTGACGCAACAGCACCAACCACCATGCCACCAATCCAGACTTAACAAAGGAAAGCTATGATTTCAAGGCTTGATGCAGAATTTTTTTGTACGTTTTGTGATTTTCCTAAAGTTTGACATCTCGTGCAATCTTGTGAATTTCATGCGTTTAGCAACTAACCACTCTTACTAGATTGTATCATGTCATCTCAACAAGGACAAATTAAGTTGTTGAATTTCGTACAGATCCTTCATGATTTAATTACGTTCATAGAAGCATGAAATTATTGTGTTTAAATTACAAGTTAGACTTTTTTAAGGTAACAAACACCCAATTTACTTTTTTCAGTATACCAAAAAAAGTAGTGGAGGCAACTCGATTTGACTGAGATGGATGCCTTCCTGAAACCACGGTCCAAAGCATACGGGACTGAAAGTTATTGACTTACTTCACTCGAACATGATATGAACAATTTAATCTAGCCTCTCTGCATATCATGTAGTTTCTACACTATATAGTTACACTTAACTTTAAAGCATGAGGCACTTATGTTAAATACACGCAAGATGCTTACGTAAATCCAAGAGTTGGCCAATCCCTTTTTTTCAGTGTAGATAAACTATTTTATGTAAGCCGTGACTGAAATTAAATCCTGTAATAAGAATATATAGAGTAAATAACAATTAACCTAATTGCATACCGGGCTTTTAATCTTTCTTCCACCATACATCTCCGTGAGGGATCACTAGGATCTATATAGGCAAAGTTAATACAATGTAAAGGCAGAAAGAAACCTTGATGTGTAATCTGGGAGTTCAGAGATGTGCAGTTTGCCTGTGACTAATCTGTAAGAACACCACAAGCCCTTTAGCATAGGACATCATGTGACATGGTCATGTGTACATGAATGCCTCAATCATTCTTCTGGTTTGTCCCGCACATGGTCAGTTTGACTTCAGGGTTTTCAGACACAACAGCTTTCTGACATATGGGACACGGTTTATTCAAACACAACGAGTTATATTTACCTAGACTTAACCAAGCTGCTTTGAAATGTGAAAATAAAGAAAGAAAAGTTGACGACACTTTAACTTCATCTACAAAACAAGCCACAGCTGGACTCTAACCTCAGTCTCCATGGTGAAAGTCCTGTGTTTGGTCCATTTAACCAGCCTTTATCCTGCTGCCTCTGTAGACTTATCATAAGATTAAAAAAAAAAAAAAATCTCACTTCATCTTCTATCAGAAAGCCTTTCTGAAAAACCCTGAAGGCAAACTTCTCACACACTCACTACCAATTTTACTCTTTACTTAAAACAACAACAACAACAAAAAACAAACTAATAGACTGGATCCCAAACACATTAAAGACATATACGATCATCACGTTTATCGTGTTAAAGCTTCAAAAAAATGAAAGTGAACCTGTCTTTTAATTTTGCCAGACATACAGAGACACAAGCACGCACGGAAAACAACTAGTAAATCCTTCACAACAACACAACATCAAATCAGTGACATACCGCAGGAGACAACGAGGCACATCTTTGTTTAATGGCTGCAAAGGAGTAAACAGCGTTAACTTAACACGCTTTCCTGCCAAACAACTTTGAGTTAGATCTTTTTTTTAACATTCCGCTAAAAATATTAGCATCCCAAAACAGCTTGTCCCGAGCTTAGTCTGCCTCAGTAGCAAGTGTAATATATAACATTTAAAAAATAAAATAAATAAGCCTGTGAATTTAACTGAGGATCGTCGAGACTAATAAGCCAAATCTCATTTAAAATAAAATAAAATAAAATAAAATAAAAATGTTGTGTGCTTTCTCGCTTCTTCTTAAATGAAAATGAGAATGCACGTTGGCTGTGGTTAATTTAAAATATTTCCTAATTCTAAAATCCCAAACATTTAGTGAGATATTCTGCATCTGTTGTTTCTCCTTCACTCACCCTCCAGTCTCGGCTCCTGAATCCACGCAGTCATCTTCTGTTAGGACTTTCTCCATCTCAGAGGCTCGGACGCGTAGCATTTAGCTGCATTATTTCAGTGAAAGCCACAAACTGAGCGTTCAAACGCCTGGAGAGACCACACTGAATCAGACGAACAGAAAACGCTCTAAATCCCCGCCGGTGTCTGAGTCCGCACACGAGCAGAGGGGTTTAAACTTGTTGGATCGACAGGCTGACTTTTCTGCGTCAGCGGCGGGCTGACGGGATGCCTTCAGTTGCTGTGGGAAATCTGACGACTACAAGCGAACGAGGCAAACGTTTGGATTGGAGGTTGGATTTTGTTCTCACGTGTTTCAGTTTCCTGCTGCCAACATTATACCGGTATTACCGTGAACGGTATGATATGGCCCAGCCCTAATTCATAGTGTCTTCTAGACTAGTGGATCAGTTGAAGGGTCAGATGCATCTCTCAGCTCCAGTTTCAGAGCTGTGCTGAATTTTCCTCCCCTATTTCCTAAAGACATGACTTTCAGATACTGTTCATCTGCTGTAGATAGTTTTTAAGTCTGTCTAGTCTACTTCTTCTTTTGTATTCCACTTGTGCAGTTTATCATAGATTCAAAGTGCCTTGAGTTAGGTGACTTTTTAAGTCCTTGAATAATGCATAGGTCAGTATGATTTTTTTTTTTAAGACCAAACAAGCCTCAGAAAATGGTCTGGTGCAAGGACCAAGCTCACCCTAAGAAAGCCTGGAGAGCTATGCCTCAAGACAACTTAAAAAGTCTGACACCTTGCAAGTAAGATATAAAGAAACTGCGGGTGGCTCGAGAGTTTTGCAGTGTACTGTAGTTTAAAATACGAAATCAAAATTATAACCATAAAAATGGGGATAAATATTCTGACGTAATTGTGATTTAAACTACTACTCCAGTTTTTTTTGTTTTGTTTTTCATTTTAAGAGCGTTGAGCTAAAGACGTTTTTAACTCATAGTTTTTAAGACGGGTGGGTATATCTATATTTTTAGCAGTGTATGTATTTATCAGTGATGAAAATCCAAACTCTCGCACGTAATGAACGATGCACCTGGGGCTGGTAAGGCTGCGTTAACGAGCAGCACGCAAAGGCAACAGTAGCAAAAGTGCTGGTTTGGCGCCGTCAACAGGAAGGATAAGGTAATGCAGTGAGTCTGTCTTCCAGGTGGACCCACTGAGGTCAAAGAAGGGTCAAATTTCCTAACTGTAGACAAAACATTTTTTAGGCTCCCCCATATATCCCCATACTACCTTTAGCTTCCCTTACATTTAATAAGGGTTGCCTGTAATTGCACACCTGGATTTATTAGGTAAAAATATCACTTTCATTTTTTTGTTTTTTTGTAATAACAAGCTGTTTAAAATTAAGCAACCACAGTATACACTGAAGTAATGAAATAAGCAATGAACAATTATTAATCTATATATTTTTAAAAAAAACCCCATCTGTCTTCTACTTTTAAAACAGAAAAATGCACGATGACGCCGGCACACAGATTTGGTAGATATGGTTATTAGTGTGAGTAGGACAGAGCTCAAGAGTAAAATACGATACAAAATGAAGGAAAGGTGGCAGAAGCAATGGGAGGAAGAGAGGATAGGGCGATGGTTTTATAAGATCCAAAGGAAGGTGGGGGAAATGAGAAGTACAGGCGGAAACAGGAGAGAGGAGACGATTATATCTCGACTGAGATTCGGACATACTGGTTTAAATAGCACATTGTTTTTAATAGGTAAACACTGTACAGGGGACTGTGACTGCAGTAGGGAACGGGAAACAATAGAACATGTTTTCTTGAATTGTCAGAGGTATGATATTGAAAGGAGACAACTGCTCAAAAAGCTGGACGATATAGACGTGAAGTTGGACTTGATAGATTTGTTTCGCACGACCTCTGTAAGTGAAAGTTATCGGGCTGTATTTTGGTTTTTAAGGCAGACCCATTTGTTAGAGAGGCTTTGAATTTTTTTTATTATTTTTATTATTTTTGTCATTTCTGTCCACACTCCACACCAGTTGGTGGCGGTACTGCACCATTTTGCTGTTTGCCAACCCCCAGTAAACCCTATACAGAAGAAGAAGAAGAAGAAGGCTCTGATTTATGCATTGATGACATCATCACCAGGCGCCAGCTGGAGGCGGAGATTGACGGTTCTCGTGCACGTTGATGTGTTGAATAGCTGCGGAAGGTTCATTTTCGGTATCAAGCTTACGGCTGGATTCAGAAGAGAAATGTCTGTCACCGAGATGTTCAGTTACATCCAGGGCTTCCTGAGCGCAGACCAGGACATCAGAGAGGTAAGCACGAACAGCACAGCGTTAGCTCACAGAGACTGCTAGCTAGCAGCTAACCAGAGCCGAAGACTTGTCGTTAAACGTTTAATGAAAATATTTAACCCTGGTAAGTGGGACATTATGGTTTAGCTGCATCAGCTAATAAATTTAATTCAGGTCGATAACAGTTCGCAATAAATGTCACTTTTACTGAAATCTAAATATCATCAAGCTCCAGTGTTGTTTTTTTTACCACGCTTGTAAAGCGTTTTTCCCCAACCAAAGTTAATTTAAAAATTAGTGAATTTAATGCGGGATAGCTTTAATTCCGAATATTGCTGATTGGTTGTGGCTGTATCGCCCTAAGACAGGTTTTAAACCATTGAAAAATATACCCGGGTAAAATAGACAAAAATAACATTGCCTATTAATAATGTAGAAGATATGAATGTACTGGTGAAGTACAGAGAAAGTCTTTGTGGATACAGAGAAAGCATGTGATAAAGAGGAACTGTGGTACCGTCAGGAATGGCAGAGAAGTATATGAGGGTGGTGTAGGACATGTATGAAGACAGCCAGACACAGGCGAGGTGTCCGGTAGGAGTGACAGATGAGTTCAAGGTGGGGCTGAGATTATAATAGGGATCTGGTCTGAGCTCCTTTTTGTTTGCAAGGGTGATGGACAGGTTGGCAGATGAGGTCAGGCAGGAGTCTCCGTGGATTATAATGTTTGCAGATGGCACTGTGATCTGTAATGAGAGTAGAAAGCAGGTGGAAGTATGCTCTGGAGAGAAGAGGAATAAATAATGCTTCATTTGAAGCGAGACAGAGTACATGTGTGGGAATGAGAGGGAGCAGTCAGGTCTTGCAGCGATGCATGCACATTTAGAGTTAATGTGCAGATAGAGCAATTATCCCCACATCAGCAGTGACTGTGAAAACTTCCTCGTAGTGTCAAATTCTGCACATGTATCACTCTCCACAATAAAGGTCAAACATCTGAGTGAAGTAACGACAAGCGAAACACATTTTTGCTTAGAGAGGGAATATGTTCTTCTGTCTTATAGACTTTGTTGTAAGCATCTTAGGTATTCAAAGTGGCAAAGGTATATTGATTTTATTTGGACTTTAGTAGAAGCTTTAAACGCTTTGTTGTTCTTCATTCCCTCTTTTCACAGGATATTCGTAAGGTGGTTCAAACCTTGGAACAGACCGCCAGGGAAATACTAACAGTACTACAGAGTGTCCACCAACCAAGTGGATTCAAAGAAAGTGAGTGACCCGTGGAGCTGTAGATACTTGGATAAAATGATTTTTGAACCTCTGGTATGATAATCTTTTTTCTTCCTTTTAGTTCCCAGCAAATGTGCGAAGGCGCGGGAGCTGTTCTGCACAGTCAGGACACAAATTGCTGAACTCAAAACAAAATTTCCTATGGAGCAGTATTATAGGTAGGAATGACTTTCTTCTCAACAATTACAGTTATCGTCATGATTATGCAGCGCTAATGAGTTTTTGAATGTTTGTTATTTTGTTCATGAAACCAAAACTCGCAAAATTTTGCTCATAATGTGTTTTTAACTGTCTTGTTTTATTATTAAGTATTTTAATTTATGTGCCTCTGACTCCCTAAAGAAACAGGACTCACTGTGAGCAGGATATCCTTAAGAAATCAAGTGTTTTTATCTTTGTTTCTCGGCTTTCTTCTTCTCTCTTTAGGTTCCATGAACACTGGCGGTTTGTCCTGCAGCGTCTGGCTTTCTTAGCAGCGTTTGTTGTCTACCTGGAGAGTGAATCTCTTGTAAAGCGGGAGGAAGTGGCACAGATACTCGGGAGTAGGTACCGCTTAATGTCATAAAGTCGAAGTCTCACTGGAGAAAGTCGGCTAATCTTTGCTTCCTCCTCTCTCTCCACCTTGTAGTCGAAGTGGTGCGAGAGAAAGGCTTCCACCTCGATGTAGAGGACTACCTGGCAGGCGTCCTGATCATGGCAAGTGAACTGGTGAGTTTACTGTTAATTGTTATGTTGCTACCTACAGTCATGTTCTATATATTAAATGCATTCTAGGAATCATGAGGACAAGCACTTGATTAATTGATCACCAGCAAGTTTGAGCTCCTCTATAAAAGCAGAAGTTTTGCCAGTTTGCAGGTTTGGAGCATTCAGGTGTGTGTTTTGGGGAAGAAAGATATTATTGCAGTAATTTCTGTCCTTAAATCTGGTGGTAAGATTATTTCCAAAAATGTTGTAAACAATGATTTGTTGTGTATAAGTTGACTTTAATTCACCATGCTGTTTGTCGATCCAGTCACGCTTGGCGGTAAACAGCGTCACAGCAGGAGACTACAACCGGCCCCTGCGCATCTCCAACTTCATCAACGAGCTGGACTCGGGCTTCCGCCTGCTCAACTTGAAGAACGACCCTCTGAGGAAGCGCTACGACGGCCTCAAGTACGACGTGAAGAAAATCGAAGAGGTCGTTTATGACTTGTCAATCCGCGGTCTGGCCAAGGAGCCCGAGACCGCTGGTGAGAAGTAGAGCGGCGAGGGTGCGATTGGCAGTGGGAGAAGGAGGGCGTGGTGGCTGCCCCGCCCTCAAGCTGGGAACTCTCCATGGCTGCTGCAGATTGGAGACTTTACACCACCTGGAACATGAGAGCCAGGGATCTGCCTGAGGCCCCAGCAACCGAAGACAGACTCTGTGTGTGTGTGTGCTTAT